AAAAAAAAAAAAAATACAGAAAGAAACAAATGTACTTAGTGTTCATTTTGTACCAGAGATTTTTCCCAGAAGCTCTCACTTAAAATCCTGTGACTTAAATCTTCTGTCTCTTTTGAAGATGAGGAAGCCGAGCCTTAGCCATGTTAAACATCCTAAGGGGACCAGGCAGGGTAGCTCAAGCCAGTAATCCCAGCACTTTGAGAGGCCAAGGTGGGCGGATCACCTGAGGTCAGGAATTTGAGACCAGCCTGATCAACATGGTGAAAACCCCTCTCTACTTAAAATACAAAATTAGCCAGGCGTGGTAGCAGGCACCTGTAATCCCAGCTACTTGGGAGGCTGAGGCAGGAGAATCACTTGAACCCGGGAGGCAGAAGCTGCAGTGAGCCAAGATCATGACATTGCACTCCAGCCTGGGCAACAAGAGTGAAACTCCATCTCAAAAAACTAAAAAACGAAACAAAAAAAATAATAAGATCTTAAAGGTCACACAGCTACCTAGCAGCAGATCCTATCTAACCTGGGTCCTTCCAAGTACATGACTTTCACTCAATCATTCATTCAACAAAGAGTTATCTCCTACAGACTAGATACTTGCAGTAAGCACAGATTCTGCCTTATAAGGTTTTCACAATAATACTTTGTCTATAGTTCACCATAATCAACTAGTTAAACATAACATGTAGTCTAGCCGGGCAAGGTGGCTCATGCCTGTAATCCCAGCATTTTGGGAGGTGGAGGTGGGCAGATCGCCTGAGGTCAGGAGTTCGAGACCAGCCTGACCAATATGGTGAAACCCCATCTTAAAAAAAATTAAATAAAAAAATAAATAAATAAAAATTAATATAACATGTAGTCTATGAAACGCCTAGACCCTGAGGACTCACATTGTATAATCTCCCACAAGGAGAAAAATACAGGTCAGGTCCTGGGACCTGATGACTTCTTATAGTAATTCATTGTAAGATGCTGCAACGAGTAATTTACATTTCAGATTCACAGCAGATTGTGGTATGCCAAGTCACTGTCATAAGCTGCCATTTCATCCTGTAACTCAAGAGCTACTACTGAAAAAAAAAAAGGGGGCTACTACTGGTTCCCAATGCTCACATGGAGCATACCTTCTTCTGCTTGGCTTTCAAAGCCCCCTCTGTGTTCGCACCTTACCTTTCAAGGTCTCTTCTCCACTACCCTTCAAGCCTCCTAATATGAGAAGGATTTGGTCCTGTATTCGTCATTCGCTTATTCATTCATTCAACAAATAGATATTAAATGTTTCAGTTACTGGACTAGTCAGGCAGAAAGCATGCAATAAAGAATACAAAAGGGCCAGGCACGGTGGCTTATGCCTGTAATCCAGACACTTTGCGAGGCCAAGGCAGGCGGATCATGAGGTCAGGAGTTCAAAACTAGCCTGGCCAACATGGTGAAACCCCGTTTCTACTGAAAATACCAAAAATTAGCCAGGTGTGGTAGCAGGTGCTTGTAATCCCAGCTGTTTGAGAGGGTTGAGTCAGGAGAATCGCTTGAACCCAGGAGGCAGAGGTTGCAGTGAGCCCAGATCACGCCACTGCATGCCAGCCTGAGCAACAGAGCAAGACTCTGTTTCAAAAAAAAACAAAAAAGAATACAAAAGATGGGCCGGGCGCGGTGGCTTACGCCTGTAATCCCAGCACTTTGGGAGGCCGAGGCAGGTGGATCACGAGGTCAAGAGATCGAGACCATCCTGGTCAACA